TGACATGATGAAACGTTGTAATGCATTGAAGTAGAATATATATGGCAATGATAATGAAGGTGAATAACCAAATGTGAATGTTGTTGCAAATTAGTCTAATTCAAATTTAAAGCTGCTCTTTTGGAGATTAGTGAAGATAAATGAAAATAATAGTAAATTCTTCACTTACCTTATGCATACCATAGTGTTTTGATAAGGAGTTGGCTTTCAATCATAAGTCTTGTTCTAGTGGCTATGTTTATAATATAAATAGAGCATTCAAACTTGTTGGTCTTGGTGCTGTAAAGTTGAGGATACATGTTAGTGTGACTATGACATTGGCTACAGTTAGACATGTACCAAATCTAAAAGATAAAAAATAAAAAATACTTCTTAATTGAGATTATTTGTTGATTCTAATGCTAACACCTCAAAATATCTCAAAAATTACACCGTGCTCACAAACAGAAAACGGCTCAAAACCCATTATGTAATTGTAAACTTTTCTATTAATATCATATTTGACCACAATTTTTAGAAACCATTCATGGGTGAGCATAGATTTTCTTAACCTATATTCCACTTTCACAACCTACAAGTAATGATCTATGCTCTACTGCCAAAAATGATCTAAAATTTAAGATGAATGAAGGAGAATAATTGAATAAACCAACCTTCCTGTCATGGTCAACACTCAAAGTAAGGGCTTTGTAGAATATTCCAAATATTTTGGGTCATGGAAAGCATTGATTTTTCAACACATTTAAAGTAACAAGGCTATGAATGTATATTCATTAACAATTTTGCAGTGAAAAAAAAAATGAAAAGATCCTTTTATGATTACTATAATGGGCATTTTATGATAGAATTTTACATTTTGAGGGGGGGGGGGGGGGGGGACAATGCAAAAGCATAACTAAATTTGGTTTTACCCAAATTGCAGAAGTTTTCTATTGGAGACAGCTCTCTTAATCCTTGTTCTTTTTTGGAATTCGCCTCGTGTTACCCACTTATTATTTGATCTTCATTGTCCAGTTAGTTCGTCCTTACTACTTCCTCCCTTCTTAAAGAATTATAACTCAAATCCCTCTTTCTTATTCCCTTGACTCAGGTAAGAAAAGATTGAGAGAGAGACAGTGATGGTCTTCTAGTTAGAGAGAGGAAGTAGACATGGTTTCTCAAAAAGAGGTACAAGGGTGGCAAGAACTGCAAGATGGCTCTGGATTGGCTAATCAGAGGAGAGAGAGGAGGGGCAGGGATAAAACATTGACCAAGAATCATTTCATATTATGAAAAATGCAAATCAACGGTTAGCTTGAATAAATGATAAGAGTTATTCACTAATCACTCATAAATGTACGTTATCATATGCAGAAACCTTCCTATATTGATACTTTTGTTATAATATGACTCTTAATTATGGTAATGGCATACTCGTGATTTCCTTGTGAGCTTCTACGGTCTACTTGGGGGGGGGCTCATCTAAATAGATGAGGAAGAGGCTTGTAAGAGAAAGAGGAATAAGCCTACAAGGGAGAAGATAGGCTTGTAGGGGGGAGGAGCCTACTACAAAGGAAGAAGATAGGCTTGAGAAGGGAGAGGCCACTACAAGGAGGAAGATAGAAAGAAGACCAAGAAGAGGAAGAAAACTTGTCCAAGAAGGAGAAGAAAGGGAGAGGCTTCAAGAATTAAGGGAGGAGTCTTTGATCTTGTATCGAGGTAGTTTCGAGGGAGAGAGATCAAGAGGATTGGTCATTCCTCAATGTAAAAGGAAGTCTTGTAATTCTTTTTTGCTTTAGTGGATTGATAGTTGATTCCCTCCGTGGATGTAGGTCTATGGACCGAACCACGTAATTGTTGTGTTCTTGTGTTTGTGTCATTGTCGCATTTTTTTCCTGCAGTTTTCTTTTTCCTGTTTCTCCCCTCCTCTTTCGGCAGCCCATGTTCTTGAAGAGAAAGGGTAACAAGATCACAACCTGCAGGCAGGTGTTCATTTCTTGGAGGCACTGCAAAAACTGAAAGGTTGTCCAGTTCTTTAAAGCTTTGCAGGTTCTTGGTGTTCTTGGTGATCAAGAGCTGCAGGAGTTCTTTGGAATTTTCTCTTGGTGTTTGGCGGGGCAAGAATTCACAACAACTGGCGCCGTCTGTGGAAATTTCAGCCATGATAATGGCAACTGCCGAATTCGACATCGAGAAATTCACCGGGAAGAACGACTTCGGCCCAAGAAGAAGTTTTTTGGGCGGTCATTCGGAGCGATGACGGCAGTTACAGGAACCACAGGTTCGGGCGAAGAAGACTGCGGACAGGAGAAGGATTCGCGGCAGGGGGCTTCGGTTCGGAATTGCGGAATTATCTCTCGACAGGAGAAGCCCGCTCGAACGATATCCGCTTCAGGATCTGCTTGCGAACAGAGGCTTCTGCAGTTCTGCGGACAGGCGGAGCGGATCGGACCAAGCAGCAACTGATTCGGAGAGCCGGAGAGTTTTGCGCGACAGAAGGATTCGCCTTGCAATTCTGCCTGGGAGGCTTCGACGCAAGCTCAACAGAAGAGTTTGCGCAACAGGAGGTGCATCGCGGTAGGGTTCGCCGGGAATCCTGCGGGAGGAAATTTCGCAGGGGAGGCAGGGTTTGATCTTTTCTTGAAAGCTAAAGAAAGAAGTTTTTTCTTTCCTTGGTTCTTTGGCTGAAAGTAGAGGAACGCATCAAGGGGAGGAATATTTCTTGTGCGGATCCTTATTGGAAAAAGAAAAGGAATCTGAGGAATCTCCTGCAGCTGAAGAAAGGAAATATTGGATATTTCTTTGTTGTGGAATGAATGCATGAAGGAATATTCCCTCCTAATTTTCTTGGGAATTTCTTTTGCTTGAGGCTTTTGTGCGACAAGTGTAGTTGCGGCAGGTGTTCGCAAGTTTGTCGCCGGAGTTGCGACGGGTGCAGTTGCGGCAGAAGTTCGCAAGTTTGTCGCAGAAGTTGCGGCAGGTGCAGTTACGACAGGTGGTGCTAGACGAGCGGTGTTCGCAAGTTTGTTGCACGAGTAGTTGCGGCAGGTATCGAGCAGCGGAGTTCGCAAGTTTATTGCAGGAGTTGTGACAGGTGGTGCTCGGCCAGCGGAGTTCGCAAGTTTGTCGCAGGAGTTGCGGTAGGTGCAGTTGCGATAGGTGGTGCTCAACGAACGGTGTTAGCAAGTTTGTCGCACGAGTTACGACAGGAGTCCGCAAGTTTGTCGCAGGAGTTGCGACAGGTGCAGTTGCGGCAGGAGTTTGCAATTTTGTCGCAGTAGTTGCAGCAAGTGCAGTTGCAACAAGTGGTGTTCAGCCAGCGGTGTTCGCAAGTTTGTCGCAGGAGTTGCGACATGTGCAGTTGCGAAAGGTGGTGCTCAACCAGCGGTGTTCGCAAATTTTGTCGCAGATAGAGTTGCGGCAGGTGCAGTTGCGACAGGTGGAGGGAATCTCTATTATGAAGTTTTATAATTAAGATTCAAGGTGGAGAATTGTTAATATGACTCTTAATTATGGTAATGGCATACTTGTGATTTCCTTGTGAGCTTATATGGTCTACTTGGGGGGGTCTCATTTATTTATAAATAGATGAGGGAGAGGCTTGTAGGAGAAGGGGGAATAAGACTACAAGGGAGAAGATAGGCTTGTAGGGGGAAGGAGTCTACTATAAGGGAAGAAGATAGGCTTGCAGAAGGGAGATGCCACTATAAGGAGACCAAGAAGACCAAGAAGAGGAAGGAAATTTGTCCAAGAAGGAGAAGAAAGGGAGAGGCTTCAAGAATTAAGGGAGGAGCCTTTGATCTTGTATCGAGGTAGTTTCGAGGGAGAGAGATCAAGAGGATTGGTCATTCCTTAATGTAAAAGGAAGCCTTGTAATTCTTCTTTGCTTTAGAGGATTGATAGTTGATTCCCTCCGTGGATGTAGGTCTATGGACCGAACCACGTAATTGTTGTATTCTTGTGTTTGTGTCCTTGTCGCATTTTCTTCCTGCAGTTTTCTTTTCCCTGTTTCTCCCCTCCTCTTTCGGCAGCCAAGGTTCTTGAAGAGAAAGGGTAACAAGATCGCAACCTGCAGGCAGGTGTTCGTTTCTTGGAGGCTCTGCAAGAATTGAAAGGCTGTCCAATTCTTTAAAGCTTTGCAGGTTCTTAGTGTTCTTGGTGATCAAAAGCTGCAGGAGTTCTTTGGAATTTTCTCTTGGTGTTTGGCGGGGCAAGAATTCATAACAACTTTATTTTCCATTTATTTAGAATGAAGATGCATAAATCTAAATAAATAGAAACTAGGATTAAAATAAAACCGCAAAAGTAGCATTTTCTCTCTCTCCCACAAGCAGCCAATAACTTATGGGCTTCATTTTGCATGCATGCACAGGCCAAAATCACAACAGCCGATGAAGCATGAATCATTGAAATATGCATTTGGCTGAAAAGCAAATTATTTCCCCAAAAATGAACAGCCTTGAAGAATAATTTAGAAAATATCAGAAACAAAGGCATAATTTGCTATATAAGAGGACATGTACTTAATGAAATTGTGAAAAACAAGTGCGCTTATAAGAAGGCATGAAACAAATATAATATAAAATCAATTTCAATCAGAAACTGCACAATGCCTCCTTCAATCATGCTGTGATCAACAACAAAAAAAGACACACAGAGCATGCTTACCATAGAATACGTAAAGAATATTTATAGTTTCTTTTCCGCAGCATATATATATATATATATGCTCGACGATTTCCACTT